TGTATTAGAAGCTTAATTTACTTTCAAAACAATTTTTTTTCCCCATTTTGTTTTGCGATCTACATTCAAGCTAACTATCGATTATGTGAACTGCTCACTGATCTTTAATTTGGTTTCGTTAGTGAATATTGCTGTTACCTCGGATACACTGTGTATTAAAACGCACCTAATTAACAATATGGTAATTCATGTTTGGATAGCATATTTCTTAGATACATAGGATGCTTAAAATGAGAGGCTAGGGTTTAAAGCACCCGGAGAGTGATTCAGTTTTTGCGCCATGCAATCATGTTTAAGGGACTTTTCGAAACAATTTTTGTTTTGAAATTCATTCCTAAATATTTTTAATGCATTTGTCGCCCTTCTAAGTTTCAACAATCCTTCCTTGAAGCTGGTTTTCATTAATTTAAAACTATAGGAAACCTCTTTATCCATATTTTCTTTTACAAAAATTTTCATATTTTTTTTCCTGAATTTAGCATAATTTTCAAATTAATTAAATAATTGTTAATATTAATTAAATAATTGTTATATAAAAATATTAGAAATTTTTGCTATGCTTTGTATTTTATGCTGCTTTGAAATGAGAAAAAGAATACAATTTCAGAGGAAATGATTTTTTTTATAAAACTTTCAGATTTCTCGAAATTTTTTCTAGTTTTAATTTTATGGATGAAAATTGCGATTTTAGGATGAAAAGTTGTTCTAAAGTATCTATTTTATTTGGTAAACAATATTTAACTTTTTTTTTTGGTCAGTTAGTTTTTTTTCTATGTAAGCTATAAGGTAACATCTAACAACATGTAAAACTATAAAGTATGTGCAATAATACAAAGCCTGGCCAAGGCTGAAATGAATGATTAACTTAAATGTTATGCCTCAGGCTGTCCAAACATCGTAAAATGGAGGCGTGGAGGTAGCGAATTCGAATCCCAATACAACCCTGAAAGCATTTAGTTATTTATATTTATTTATTTATTGTCATACATGCATATGCACGCTTGTGTATTATTTGCAAAGTTCAGCTTATATGCACGATTGCCAAGTTGAAGAGCAGATAGCACTAGATAAAGAAGGGTATCACTGAGATAAATACACGGATTTAAACCCACGACCTCCACATTACGTCGGATGCATTTGTGTAATGTCCTTCTTTAATCTGAGCTATCCTGTTCTTCAACTTGACTAGGACTTGAAATAAGTCGTACTTTGAAATGTGCAAACAAGCCTGAGTATATATGTGCAACTATAAATAAATAAATACTTGAAATACTATTGTTTTTTAAAAATTATATGAGTTACAGGGGTCTTCTTAAACGAGCAATCTCGTCTTTCTACCAAACGCTATTTAAAATAGAGGTAGCGAGTTAAAATTATTCATAAACAACTGGATGCGGATTAATAAATGAATAAATTTGGTTAAGATGCATCTCGTGCAAATTTACAGAGAAGACAGTATATGATTGTTTTACTTACAATTATCTTAGGGAACTTTCTCGCTGTGCAATATCGCCGTTCCATTAACCATTCTGAAGCATTAATGTAGTAGAGTTGATTTCTGCTAAATAATGGATGTATATTCTTGCTGTATTTCCTAAACTTGTATTAACTGTTTTTCAAATTGAAAAGATTTAAGACCTAGGTTTATAAATAAGTAAATAAACACCACGACCCTCGTAAAATATGAATAAAACAGACACTATATATTAATGCATTTCAGTTCAGCATCTATAAAATTCCTTAATTAAATATTTGAAGCTGCCATTCATGTCTCTTTTTCTCTTGTTATAATTGAGAAAAATATTAGGAAGAAAATTATTAAACCGTCATCAAACTCCTATCAGCGGCTTCAATAAATCATTACTAGAAACCATCGAAGAGTAAACATATTATTATCATTCTATTTGGCGTACACATCAAAAGGTTATAACTTCCAATTAAAGGATAAAATCAATTCTAGTTTTGATACTTTAGCGTATGACCTAAAAACAATTTATTTGGTTAAATTTACTTTTAAGACATATTTTTACTACATGCGTGGTAAAAAGAACTATGATTTTGCAAACCAGAATTTCCGTTAAACTGTAACCATGAAAAAACGGTAAAATTTGGTAAAAAATGGTGAATGGTTTAAATATCGTATATTTTGGTTTAATTTTTCTTTTGCACGAGATCCCCTCTGCAGAGGATCAAAATTGTGATGGCATGTCTTCTGATCATCCTCAGGGATGTTGCCCAGACCGTCACCAATAGCCCATTGTGCAGCTTTAGTGAGATGTAAATGAACTACAACAACAAAAACTTTTGCCAGAAATGTTTAAATCTTTTTTACCATAGTATAGTAAATTTTACCATAATTTTGTTATCAGTGTAGTAAGCCAATTTTTCACAGTGTCATTTAAACTCATAAAAATAAACAAAAGTTGAGAATTATTTTCATATATGTAGGAAAACTTCGCTAAATAGGCATTTTTTTTTATAACTGAAAATCTGTTTAAATATTAAAGCTATTTGTCCTTTTTAAAGTTCAGAAAATTTTAATCAGCAAAATCGCAGATATAAACTAAAACTAATGTATTTTTCTGAGTTTAAGGGACTGCAAACTGTGGAGTTTTCTTTTCTTGGCAAAAAAGCTTCGAAAAAGAAGAAAACTTATGGATATTTTCTTAATTCGATGGATTTTTCTGGAAAGGAAAACAGAAAGGCATAAATTTACGCAGTGCCATTAATAATGGCTAGAACAAATTAACCGAATAAGTGTGTCGACAAATAATACACTCACCCTTAAGACGCATCTGCCACATTTCTGTCTGCGGATAAATGCATAATAATGAAAATATATATCGGCTCTGTGCGAGTTTTTATCTTTTTTTCTTTTCTGCACTTGATTAAATGAAAGAGAGGGAATCACTTTATTACTATTCCCTCATTTATTTCTTTAGTTAGTCAATGATATAAAAAATATATTATTAAAAAACATTAGTCTAACTGTGAAAACAAGTAAGTTTTCAAAAGTAATAAAACCCTATAAAGTACACAGAAATAAGAATGTACTTTTTGCGAAAGATCATAAATTACTACTCGCATTAGAATGTTAAATATTTCATATTAAAATTCATTTTTAAGTGTAAATTACTAAAGAATTTGTATTTCCTTTAAAATGACTGTAGATTTGAGTAGATATTATTTATTTATTTAAGCAAAAATCTTACAAAGTTTATATGGGCTTATCCCACGAATTCATGAAAATTATAAATAAAGCACTTTTTGTAATTTGCATATTCAATAGGATTTATTGGGGGATTATTTTCAATAAAAACGAAATGCCTTATTGCGTCGATTTTGCCTTTTGAAAGTCTCTACCAAATTAATACAAAAATTTATATTGTGTATTACGAATATTCTTTATTCTTTGATTATAATCTATTTATTTCTTTGCAAATAAGTACATATAATCAAATATTTCATAAGGTATAAGACTTAATAAAATATTTTTTAACTGCAAATATGATACAAGAAACATCAAATAAATTTTTACGAAGAAGGAAAATATTATTATTATTAATGATAATAATAAAGCTTAATGAATAGCACACCGAGGAAAAAAAGTATGGTCAAAATTTCCGTAATATGATAAAGTTTACCATACTATATGAACACTAATTGCAGTAATTCTTACCGTAGCGCTTTGGTAATTATTTTTGGAAAAATAAATTGTAAAATACAATTTTATTATCATTCCATTTTGTAGTAAATAGGATAATATTTGATAATTTTATAAAGAAGAGTTGGTCATTTTAACAGTACTAGTATAATTTGAGATAAGGTAGTAAAAAGTGTTGTAAAAATTTGACTTTAGACTTGAAGGCTGACATATTATCGAAGGTCTAAGTATATAACGTATATGAAATCATGATGTTTCTTTGTCAGGTAAAATAAAATTTGATATATTGTTAATATTTTGTTTGTTATAAGCCCTCCAAAGTACAGAGGGAACTAGACACACCCTGAGTTTTTTATACGAAAAAAAAAGTTATTTTAACTTTTGAAACTATTTTCTTCTGAGACCCAGATTTTAAATAATGGTAAAAATTTATTTTTTAGAAATATATAATTTAAAAGAAATTAAACTCTGTAAGAGCATCTCGCAGTAGACTGATCGTAAAAAGACGGTTCCCAGTAGAACACCGAAGTCAAGAACCACTGGCTGTGTTCAGTTAGCGGGTGGGTGACTATTTTGATCAGCCTGCGAAGGGACCGAGGTTGCGCGATATCAGTCCTCGCTAAACAGCGTGACTCCTCTAGCAAGTCGAGCTATAGAAGTAGAGGAGCCATCCCTTCTGCAGAGGATCAAAACTGTGATGACATGTCTTCGGATCATCATCAATTATGTTTCCCGACAGTCCATTGTGCAGCTCTAGTGCGACGTAAATAACCTTGAGTTCAATAAAATATTTTTTAAAAAAGAAAAATACAATAACTTTAAATTTAGTTGTTTTTTTAAATTTTTACATACGAATAAACATTTTAAATTTTAGCAGTTTTTTAATGTTGCAGGATAATTTTATTATGTCGCTCTCCATATTTCAGTGATGGAACAACGTAGTCTATTAGACTCAAATAATAAGATATTTATATGCCATAAAACTGGAGAAGTTTCATAAAACAATTTCTTACTTTTCATTGCAATAAAAAAATTCCAACCAATGAAAGTAAACCAATTGTATTTTCATATAGACAATTACTTTGTGAAGGAATACAAACAGGAAAGAAATCTTGAAAGTTTTTTTAAAGTGATACAATTATACCAAGTGTTGTTCATTATATCGAATGCTGGGTCTCAGGAGACTAAATATTATATTCGTGAGATTTTCGCAATCTTATAATGATACATTTTTCTAAAATATTTCGTCAATAGTTTTATGAAACTAAAAATATTTTTTTAAGAAAAATCTGTGTGTATGTAAATTATTTTAATACTCTTATATCTTATGTTCTAGAAGTGTTAAAAATTGTCTTTGATTGGTATGCAGGCAAAAGATGAAAATTTTTCTCTATTAGGAACTGAAGATCAAAAGGCGTCCTCGTCAGAAAAGGTAAGAAATCTCGACTTAAAATTCTTTAATAAAGAACAGCTGCAAAATATAATAAACTTAATAGTTTAAATAAAGTTAATAACATAGAGCAGTTTAGAAATATAATAAACCTAATAACTTGAATTAAAATAAAAGAACGCTTCAGGGGTACACTGGGAGGGAAAAAATATGGACAAAAATACCGGAATATGGTAACATTTACCATGTGTTTGTCTCTATGGAAATACCAAACGGATCGGTAATTTTTACCGAAGAGCTTTGATACCGATTTCGGTGAATTTAATAATTAAACATGGTTTTATAATACGTGTTAAAACTTGGTAAATGCGGTGGGGAAATTCTGTAATTTTATTATGATACTATTGAGCATGGCATGAAAACTATTTATTTTGTTACATATGCTTTTCAGTTTTGTATTGTTACTAAACGTATAGAAATAAAAATTTAATTTTGAAAACCGGAAATTTCAAAAAAACCGTTACCAGATAAATATAAATATACGAACCATACGAACAGAAAAATTAGCAAATGAATGGTTTAAATATAGTATAGCTTGATTTTATTAAGAAGAATTATGGTTTTTTTTACCAGAAATGTCACTACCATACTTTATAGTAATTTTACCAAACATTTTTTCTCCGTGTAGATATTAAGAAAATTTAGTCAAAGTCAAAATTTAACGATTCCGTATACGTTTTCACTGGTCTTTATGCATATACTTTTGAAAGAATTAATTAACTGAATTTAAATTAAGCACTACAGTAAATTATGGTTAAGTGTTTACAATAATGATGAATTATGCTATTTTACAGCAACAACTCAACCCAAAACACGAAACAGAAAAAAAACATACCATCCTTACATTGATTGTTAATCCAGGGGACCACAAATAAACATTTTATTGACAATGTGAGTAAGAGTTTTGAGGTCCTAGACCAGTCACCGTTGACTGGCATCGCCATTGATTTCGAGTATTATTTTTTATTGTATATTTGGTTAAAATTTAGCTAAGTTATTATATATGTTGATAAAAATATTTTTATTGTATTCTAGCAGTTTTCAAGTTAAAATTTTTTTTAACTGAAAACTCAAATCAGTTTTAAAGCAAAATAACTGTTCTCAAATGCTGATTTTAAGAGTATTTATAATTCGTAAAATTGCTAATATTTATAATTTTATCATTTTGTAAAGATATAAAAGTATGACAGGTATTATTAGGTGAAATTTTGATGTTATTTATATGAATATGGGCTTTTAGAATGTGATAGCTCAAGGTAATTTTATGTTTAATAATATAATCTAACCAACCCCAACAAGAGTTTCATTACATACCACGTAAATATGAAATATTTCTGTCCATGTGGTTTTCTTTTTTTGATTATTGAAATGGTACCACCAATTGCAACAAACATCTTTTCAATTAAAGCATAACCGTTGACTAAAAAGAAAGGTTCCAAAAGGAAATATTTGAACATTGACTTCAAAACTTCTTGTGTTCATCTCTCCATTCTCAGCACATTGACTGGAGAACTTTTCTATATCTGCACATTGACTTGAAAACTTTTTTGTGTTCAGCAAGCTTTTAAATTTAAGTTTAAAAACAATATTCTGCGCAGTTATAAGATACGTCTAATTAATTATTTTACTTAACGGTTAAAGACTTCAACAAGAACAACAACAAAAAAAAAATCTCTAAGAGCAGATATCGATCCGAAAATAAAGGGCGAGAATGGTCTCTCTCAGATCTCTAACGATCCATGAGAATGGGGGCGGGGGGGGTATCTTGTACATCATGGTAGTCCGATAAGTACATTAGCGATATTATAAAAGAATTTAAAGATACTTCAGAATTTTTAAAACTAGAAGTGGCAAACTCGAATCATACCTCTTCGTAGTTTTGAGTGCATAAAGCAGCATTAATTGGTTTATTTTGCTGTAGTAGAAGGACTGTTATGAAATCAGCTTAATAATTAATTCATTATTTTAAATTATAATACTTTAAAAATAATTTTACCATGATGCTATGAAAAATTTATTCTTGAGACTTACTTCCATTTGTTTATTTATATTCTCTCGAAACACCCATCGTTATTACTGTATGTCAATAATAATGTAAGTATGTTAATAATAATGTAAGTATGTTAATAATAATGTAAGTATGCTAATAATAATGTAAGTATGTTAATAATAACGCAAGTAAGAAAATAATGGTATGAAATAGGATTATTTCATAACAATAATTAGTAGTATTACGATGTATTAAGTTTAGTTGAAAGAAATTTCTTGGTGCAACAAGATGGTTAATATTTATTTTTTTCCTTTATTAAGACGAGCATAAAAGTTTAGTAATTCATACATGCATAATAATGACTGAATAATAGCCTGGCAGTGATGTATGAGCCATTGGAATTATTTTCCACAATGATGATTTTATTAACCAGATATTATTAATAATAACCGAACAAGCTGGTTAAAGCAAAATTTGAGTTTCATTAAAATCGATTTATTGAAAAAATAAAACATAAATTTTTTTGGTAGTCAACTAAGTAATTTTTTTTAAACGAAGGAAGTTATATAATAATTCTCATAGTTCATACATCAGTAAACTAAAAGGTACTAAGTATTTTCAACTATACGGATAGTTCATATTTTATCTGTAAGACAGATGTTAACGTAAGAAAACATTATATGACATAAAAAATATAACGTAACGTAAACAAACTGATAAATATTATCTGCCGCTTCTTTTCTTAGGATTCATACTGTAGCTAAACAAATTTGGTCATCATGTACAACACTTAGATAAATTATAATAATTCTCAGAATTGTCGTCTAAAACAATTAAGCATTTTTTACCATGGTGACTTTTCCTACATTGTCTGTAATATAAATATTAGCATAAAAAAAGAGTGTCACTCCAGAAAACATAATGACAAAAGGAAAGTAAAAAAAAAAGAAAAAGAAAAATTCTTTCCTTTCTTGTGACTCATAATTAACTTAAAGAGCTTTTGTCATTGTAGGAAAATCTTGAGTAAAGTATAATAATTCTCATATTTCATACATCGCCTGAAATTATTAAGCATTTATTACTATGCCAAAACTTCCTACATTGTCTGTAATATAGATATTAATGTAGAAAAAGAACATAAGGAAATATAATAAAACAAAAAGAAAACGGAAAAAAATTTAGTGTTGTTTCTTTTCCTGTGATTTATACTTTTCCGAGAGACCTTTTGTCATCATGTACAACGTGTAGGTAAATTCATGCATCGCCTAATATTACTGAGTATATTCCGACAATTTCCTACATTGTCTGTAATGTAAATATGAACAAAAGGTAATATAACATGAAATAAGGAAACATAATGACAAAAGAAAGACGAAAAAAAAAGAATTCTTTCTTTTCCTGTGATTCATACTTTACAAAAAGAACTTTTGTCATCGTATAAGAAGCTTGGCCAAAGTATAATAACTTTCATAATTCATACATTACTTACAATTACTAGGCATTATTGTTGACGTTTCCTACTTTGTCTTTAACATAAATATTAAAGCATAAGAAAACATAAAATAGGAAATATAATGCTGCAAAAGGAGAGCGAAAAAAACTATATGCTGTTTCCTGATTTATAGTTTTCCTAGAGACCTTTTTATGAACATGTACGACGCTTTTATAAATTATAATAATTTTCATAATTCATGCATCGCCTAAAATTACTAGGCAATATTCACGCTCCCCACATTTTCGACGTTGTCTGTAATATAGATATTAACGTAACATAACATAACATAAGAAAACATAATGTAACAAAAGGAAAGCGAAAAACAATATGTGCTCTTTCTTTTATTGTGATTCATACTTTACCTAAAGAGCGTTTGTCATCGTGTACAACGCCTAGGTGAAGTATATAATAATTCTTTTTATTCATGCATTTCCTAAAAACAATAAATATTTTTTATAATGCCAAAATTTCCTAAATTCCTTTTTACATAGATTAAATATAATTAAAGTTATTATTTTATTTCATTCTGATAAAGACTTTTTCTTTAATATTTTATAAATTGAATAAATCGTTTCGAATAAATCGTTTCGTTTAAAAGCAGTTAAAATACTCCATTAACTTTTTACATACAAGAAAAATCAATTGTTGGAAAGTGTTATTATTAAAGAGTGAAGAAAGTATATATATATATATATTTGTCGTATGATAGAATTTCTAATTATTTCACATATTCCTTTAAGGTAAAAATAAGTATAGAATAAACAAATAGAAAAAAAAATCACAAGACTCTCCGTGAAAAACCTTACTTATCTTATCACGCAGAAATTTAAATAAATAGTTCCTAAATATATAAAGTAGAAAACGCACAATAGCGAAAGGTATAAGTTTTGGAAGAAGAGTGTGAAGACTGCCAAAACGCTTGAATAGTCGCAGGTGTCAACTACTCTGTTAGGTAACAAGATTATTCCTATTTAAGGTTTAGAGAATGAAGCATGAAAATGGTAAGAGAATAAAGAGCAAAAATATAGACTGATATACAATGTCTGACTAGTTTTCAAAAAAATTCTATTACATAGCACTGTTGCTTGTAATTTTACCATTTTCGAACTAAATAGTCAAATAACCATAAGTAAGATTCTATTTAAACTGTTAACTGTGAGAAAAACCGTTTATTTACTGCTTTCACCAAATACGGTTAAACGACCAGAATTTTATCGGACCGACTAGGCCCACCTAATGCAGCCATTTAGCTCCTTGCAGCTGGGTACATACTATAGCCGAGATGACTGATCTGTTAATTTCGTGACGATAGACCGGGGTTCGATTCCCAGAGTTGACTCTATAATATTTCCTAACCACAACCTATATCCAATGTCCATTACCAAACGAAAAGCCTAGCTTCAATATCCAGACATGCTAACTTTCCACGCCTTATGGAATAGGTTCTGTGGACCTCGCCTTATGGAGTAGGTTCTGTTCGCCTTATGGAATATTCTT